GCATCTTCTTGATCTTGGAGCAGCCATGGATATGGTTTTCTTTTTTCTTTTTTTGATTCTCTTACTCTTAAGAGAAAGACACAATAGAATTTTGGAAGTGAGGAGCAAAAAGATAAGTCATAAAGATTATTTGTTATGTCATTATCAATATCATTAGTGGGAGAAATGAGAGTTTTGCTTCACCAAGCAACTTGCCCTTTCATTTTTTTCTTTGACATTTCGTTGTTTATTTTTTGGCATTTCGTCGTCATTTATAATCATACGACTTATGCGTTTAATATTATATTAATCTTTGCTTAAAAAATAATTATCATATAGAGCCTAGTCATCTCCGTACGTTTACAACTGCATCAAAGCTTACTATGTTATATTTTTAATAAATAATTATAAAAAAAAAATTACACAACTACGTTATATTTTTACCTAGGTCAGTAATAAATAATTAAAAATAATTTTTACACAACTCTGTTATATGGGAGATTTGAACTTGGATTATTGGAATGTCACCACCCATGGTTTTACCAATTCTGCTAGATAAATTCTTGGATTTATATGTATTTTATTATATATAACAAGTTTACCTAGGTCAAGTGACAAAACCCTTGATGGATCCGCCAGTGACTATGATAATGTAATAAAATATGGATTCAATCTTTTTTATTTTATTTATTATAATAAAAAAACTTTTATGATTGTTTTTTCGGTATCCAAAACTTGTGAAAAATTATAGATAAGATATTTGATTCTTGGGAAAATTGTAAAAATACCACTTTTTATGTGCACAGTTGCAAAAATGCCACTTAGGATGTTCATTTGCAAAAATGCCACTAATTATAGATTTTTAAACCCTATATCTTAAAATTTTAAGCACTAAAAAAATGTTTTGACCCCTAAAACCCCCTAAACTCTCATAACTAAATCATAACAGAACATAGTTAACCCAACTATAAACATTAAAAAAAAAAATTTTAAAAAGTGGTATTTTTGTAAAGATTTCAAAAATGTGACATTTTTGTAAAGTGACACTTGAAAAGTTGCATTTTTTGAAATTTCTCTTGATTCTTCATACATAACTCTTTCTAAATGTATTGTAATATATATCGTTCCTGACTTGATCATCAACCTTAAGAGTAATAACCATGGTTTCTTCTAAATTTTGTACTTAATACAATG